TCAGTTGTCTCCCCAATTTAGTCATGTCCAGTTCCCACCCACTTGCAGAGTCTCCCCCCATCACACCTTGTTGCCAAGCTGAAAAGCTGAAGGCTAGCTCATGCTTTTTCTGGGACACATGACACCACAGTATCTTTTCAGACTACTGCTAATGCAATGCCATTGGACAGCTCAATGCGCTTGGAGGAGAATGCTAACTGCCAATTCTGTTACATCAGCTAATAAACAAACTCTCTTTCGGGCTCATTCATTTGCTACACTGTCTTAAAAGAACTATATTGTTGAATGGAAATTTGGAGAATGAATCCTTGAATTATGCAGTGAAGCTGACCATTGTCCAGGACCTCTAACAAGGTTGGTTGCTGTATAAATTATAGTTATGTAAATTGCCTCACAGGAATTGTGATCCAATGTGAATAACTAAAAAATATTACATGATGGATGCATGAGAGATACAAGCTGGTAAAATGCTTCCACTGCTGGGAATATGTAAACAGTTGAAGGAGAATATAAATGGCCTTTTTTTCAAAAGACAGCAGATATTATTAGGCCTAACAGATGTACCTAAATGAGCTGCTGAAGCACTACAATAGGTGAAAAGATTTCAGTTTTACTTTACATCTAACCCTAGAATCAAAAACAACTGTAGTGATCTACAGGCCTTCTGATGTTTTCAAGAACATGCACTCTTTCATTTCGTTTTTAATCAGGCGTGTAATTGCACCCATATCTTGATCTGCTTCCTGAACGATAATGTGCTCAATATGAGCTTCCAGTATGAGGCCACAGTATGACCAAGTAAATATCATTTCATTCCTTCTGAGTTGGACAGACCCACATTTTGTTTTTATTCCAGAAATATTACTGAACCTGTGCTTCATGGTACCCCTGGGACTTTGTTTTCTAGGCTGTTATTAGAGAGCAGCCTATTTCTGTCTACTGTAGGAGACTCCACATAGGATGCTATTGTGATATCTATAATACAGACTCTCAGAGGGCACAGGCCCACCAACCGACTACTCTCAGTGCAAGAGAACATTAGTTGTACTTTAATGTTTGGCTGAAAAGATATATGACAGGCTTATTGCTAAGCTTGTGAACAGTCCAGCTGAAGTATACAGGGACTAGCTTTTGATCTCACCTAAAAACATTTGGAGCAAGCTTGAGTACTGAATGGCAATTTGGGTGTGAGCTGAGAATGTGAAGTTCACAAGTTATTCATTACTGTTAGTGTGTGTATTGAGCAGGCAGCCTGCAATGACGTCAGGTGAACTATTTACTTTGGCCCACATCCTGCATAGCAAAAAACGTCCCTGCCCATTGGGTTATTTCAGTGCCTAGCCAGTTCTAAGATCTGAACTCTTTACTACATGCCATAAAAGCCAGTGATGCCATTAACAGAGCATGAGTCAGTACTAATAATGAGATGGTGGTTCAGTAGGTATGTAAACCATAGCCTAAATTTTTAATTTCACTTAACAGTCTGCTGACCTTATGTAGTAAACGCTTCCATTTGATCCCTGCTTGTTTACGTGTCATATGATAGACGGGAGTAAATCAACAGCAATGAACTGAAATATGCATTTATCAAATAAAAAAACTTAAATAAAGGAAAAAATTATGTTAGTTACAGGAATACTCCAGCATTCTTCAAACTAATCTGTTTTATCAACAGGGTTCCCACAGATCCGTAAAAAACATATAATGGCTTAAAATAGATCATAAAGCATACAGGTCATAACATTTCTTAAAATGTCTTACATTTATGATTAGAGGTATTAAATTTAGGGATGTCCGACCCCAGGATATTTAAATAGAGATCAGGTATTGGCTAAAATGAGGTTAGTCCAGACAGAGTCTGTTTCTGCCGTTTGCTGTGAGCAGCATGCCACCAAAAACACATGCAAAAAGCTTGGAATTAACTAGATATTTAATACATGCTATATCTGACTGTTATCGTTGTTATGCAGCGGAAATGGTCTTATTTTTGTTATACTGAGGTCTTAAAAAGGTATTAAAAAGCATTGAATTTGAAAATCTTGCAGCAACGCTGTAGGATATGGTCAGTTATTAAAGACAGTAAACACTCATTCCTGGACTGGAACCCATTGGCTTAACATAAGCCAGTCATAACAGAATCCAATGGGCAACACCTTCCCATAGGCTTCTCTAATAGATGTATTTTGAGTAGGGCAGTAACTAGCAGTTATTCCTATTATCGGATAATCTACTGACTTTTTTTGGTTTGATCTGCTAAGCTAATGATTGTTTTTCTGTTTTAGTAAGAAAAATTGTAATACTGGCACAAGTAGCCTGAATTTAAAAAGTTTACCATCGGGAAAAATTAAATTCCTTTTATTTACATTACTGTTACATTTATTTCTTAGTTGTAATTGTCACTGAATCAAAAGATTAAATACAAGAAAGTATAGATTTAAAAGTCTCCAAACAGTTAACAAAATAAATACATTTTTTTATTACTTTATCATTTAGGGGCTATTATTTTTCGTACCTAACTTACCATCTTTCCATTATTTTTGTTACTGTTTATATGATTTAGTGCAGCACATTTGCCTATGTGACATCAGATACGTCGTTGGCTAAAGGTTTCTGCATTAAACACTAGCTTCTGTTGTTACATTCTACCATTCTACTTGTTTGTAGCACAGGCAGAAGTTGGAATGACTTTTTTGCGGCAAAAGGAGATGAATCCACAAAGCCTCGCATTACAGCGCATTATATGTAGAAGCAGAGATCGGGTTTTACAGCAACACGACAACGATGCAGAAACGAAACAAAAGTATCCTAGGTCCAGCATGTTTTCTGCTCCTGTTGATAGTGGTTAGGCCCAGTAAATGTAACGTTAGACTACACATTGGAGAAGAGCATGTTGTGCTTTGTACAGTTTAGTAAAATTAATTTCATTCTTAGGTAGCAGACCAAGACAAGACAATGAACCTGTGTGTGTTAACACTTAAAATCTGCAAAATATAGTTATAAGATCACAATCATGCTGAATATTCATGCCCACACACGCCCTCGTGTATAGAGTGTACTGAAATTGTTAGAATTAACGCACATATAAACATTTATAGTCCTCAGCATGCACTGCAACATAGTGTGCGTTCTGACCCCCAACAACAATCTCTGGGCCAGCGGTTACACAAAAAGAAAAGATGCTTGGTGTCTACTTCAAGCAAATATTTAGTTTGTGATATATTTATCTACAAGATAAAAATAACTAAAACAATTTATTTTTCTTTAGAATCACTTTTGAACAAGTATTTAATGCCTATTTTGCTGTTGCAGAATAAAAAATGAACAATGGCCTGTTCAGGTCATGGCAAAATGTTACGTAAAAATGAAATAAAAACACATCTGGCCCACAAATTTGTTAAGATTTTTTAATATGGCCCTTTTAGTGATTGAGTTTGACACCCCTGCTATAGATGCAGCAGATAGAGATTAGATTAAAAAATGCTGGAGTATTCCTATGAGTAGTGCAGCGTGCAATAGCATGGCTTTGTTACTGGCAAATTAACTTCACTGTCACAAGGGCACTTCAAAATGCGAGTGTTCATTCACAGTTGGATAGCTGTCTGCCCTCTGAAGCTGTTTGATGCATCCGACGAGTGATAACAATGTGGGTCAAGGTATTCGGCGATTACCCAAGGTGGCGAGAACAGAAGGAATGCTGAAAGACCAACAGTGCAGGAAATGAAGCAGGGTACATGCCTGGACATGTCTGTGAAACTGGTGAAACTTTCAGGGAAGTACAGGGGACACTAATGCTCTTCCCTTACCAAGAACACAGCTGATTCTCAGAAACACACTAATTACTAGATACTATGCAAGAAGGATATGAATGAAACTTGTTGGAGAGACACAGAGAAGCTTGAGGTGGGATAATTATCTCTGTGACTGTCAGTGAATCTGAATTGCTTAAAGTAAAAGTGAGTGGCAAAAAGCTCCTAATTGGCCCTCTTCACTGTCCCAACTATCCACTCTGCGCAAGCCCCAATGTCCAGCAGGCAGACTAAAAGGAGTAGAGCTAGTGGAGTGGATATCACGATTATTTCTGCAATGCATATGTTTGTCTTATTTTTCTTTTTCATTATATAACAGTTAAACATTTCATATTTAACATATCCAAGCTAATTTTCCAACAATGATTACGAAGTTGAAATATTCTACTTCTTCTACCTGTCTGTTATTGCTGTCTGAAGAAAAGGCCTATTTCTGCAATGGTAACTTTATAGAAGAAGAAAAACATTTTTTTTTACTTTTAATGTACAGTAAAGAGTTTTTTTTTCTACAAATTTGGGACTGTTTCTATTTGTGCATTATTCATGAAATTTTCACATAATGTAAAGGGTAGCCAGCTTTTCAAATGGTGTAGTAAAAAAAATAAAAAATAAAGTTTTTTATATTCCAGCGACAATATACTCGTATAATTGAATACTAGTAAGTATATTAAGTATATCAGACAGTAGTGGATTGAAGCGAATAGTTCTTTAATGAAACTCATGAAAGCGAGCTGTGACTGGTGTAATGGGCTAGACTGATCAGTGCATGCCAGCATTTTTCATTGTGTGTGCCCATGCAGCTACTGAAACCTTTTTTTTTCACTGTTTCATTGTTTTCAGTTGCTTTTCTTCCTTACACCTGTAATCTCAACAGTGTTCTAGCTGGCTATGGCCACACAGAGACCCAGCAAGAATTTCTTTTTTACCAAAACCTTGATTTTGTATGTAATTATATACTGCTAATGTCACTAAAGTGCCATTATTGAGATAGAAACAAAGGTGTTAAAGTGGGCCTCGGAAACATAAATCCTGTTTAATTTAAAGAACTGTATTTTGGGGGCATATTTACAGAGGCTGAATGACACTCCTTGGTTTGAAAGCAATGCATCATGGGGTATTTTCAAGATGGATTCCACAGACAACTGTATCTCTGGCTTTAACAATGTAGCATGATATAACCGTACACGCATGACATTCATCAGTTGTAAATTTATTTATGTTGCATGATAGACTAGGCCTCACACAAAACAACGTGTAGGAATATAATGGAATGGTGAAAAAGTGAAACAAATCTTAAATGTTTTGATGTTTTTGATATATTTAAATATTTGTATTTGACACTATTAAAATATAGATTGTAGTAGATAGATTATAGGAGGCCAAAATAATAAATAAATAAATAAATAATAAATAGACAAAATAAATACTATAAAATGCAAAATATCAATGGGCCACACTTTTTTATGACAGAAAATGTGAATTTTTGATCAGAGTGAGAAAACTGAAGAAAAAATGCCTTTTCACCACAGAGCTAATCACTTAGCAACAAGCTGTCTTTTTTTTTAAAAGAATGCGTTCTTGGTTTATCTGTCCAGCAAGCTAAATAGATAGTTAAACATTTATTTTCCAGGATCCAACAGCATTTTCTGTGTTATTCTGCTGAAATTAATAAGCTTTCATTCTGCATCTTTTGCCCAACTCCCAAATATATCATTTGAATGTAACAAAATACTGTACAAGAAAACAGTAACATTATCTGTACATATACACAAGGATCTGGATAAGGCAATGCAAACTCAAAGACTTGTTTAACGGACATTTTTCTTTTAAAAAAATATAGACCAATTAAACTACAACAGTACAATCTGAGCGGCATTAATATCACTTAAGAGTTCTTTCCTTCACCAAAATCTGCCTGTGTACATCTGTAAAAACTAAAACGCTAAATATTTACAGTACAATTATGTACGACTTGAGTGCTCACAGGCATTTTACCATGGAATCAATATTGATTAATTTAGTGTCTGGATTCCTGTCTTTCTTCGAGGACCAGTGAGACATGGCTGCATTTGCATGATTTGTTTGTCTTGTAACTGTTACGGTACAGAGAAAAAGCTGAGTGATGGAATCCGTTAAACAAGTATTCATATTTGTATGGCCTGAACGGAAATAACACATTACACCAAGGAACACTTTGGAGTTCATGTAACATTCTAAATGGATATTGAAGGACAAATGCTTGGTTTTGGACATAACTAAAATGTTTGTTTTTTTTTAAAAAAAAAAAAAGGTATTTACTGTACAATGTGGAGTCCAGGTCATAAGTATACTTTCCCCACAATGCATTACTTGTGAAGCCAACGGATGTGTTACTGACATAGTGAGCCATATATTCAGTCATTCATACAGTATGAAAAATATAATAATAAGCAAATGATTTAACAGCCAAACATGACATGGATAATTAAATGGACACATTGGCATTTTGTTTACATGTGTCACTGTTATTTTAAATTTTGCTTTGCAGCATGATCTTTATTTTTTTTTTTTCATTTTAAATCTTTCACCCTAAAGTGACTGTGAGAAAAAAAAAATACTGTTAACATTAATATGAACATTATTGCTCATATTATTGTTAACACTATCATTAATTAATTACGTAATAGTCTTTATAATTGTATTCATAATATTATACTATTATAGCTTCTGTAACTATACTATAAACACTATAATAATTGATTGTAATTTATATTTTTAATATTGCAGACAATATACACAGGAGCAGTTTTCCTATAGTTCAAGGATAATTTTCCTATGGTTTGCAAAACAGTTGGCTTATATTGTTCATATGCCAATTATAATTTATGTCAATGCTGGATTCTACTGGAGTTCCAGAAAATCTTTTCCTGTCTGAAAGGCATGAATATATGGCCCTTTGTAATAATGCAGTTTCCTTTAGTTTTCCATGCTGAAATTAAAGGCACCATTGATATTTTTTCCGCCCTTGAAATACTGTGACCAGTGCTACATAGTGAATGGCACTTTCTTTCATGATGCAAACACATTTTATACACATTTAATTTATAAAAGACTTTGTTTCACTACATCACTAAAATAAAAGTTATAGTTTTTACTTATTTCCCTCAAATACTTAATTTATAGAAAATAAAGGTTTAGTGTTGACTCTGTATATTTTTTAGTATCTGATGTGAGTTTTTTTTTTTTCCTCATTCTTTTTTAAGCATTGATTGGTATGTTCACTTTCACACAGCAATAGGATTTTGGTTGGCCATCACGCTGGCTAGTCTGGTCTGCAGGTCGTCTTGTGGGGAGAGGCGGAGGGCGGGGTTAGTCCTGCTGCTGTCCGAGCCGTCTAGGCTAAGTGGAACCGTGCTTGTGGCCCCAGGGTTCTGTATGCTGAGGAAGGGTGTGTCCTCGCCCACTCGCTCATCCTCCGTCTCACTCTCAAGGCTGTTGCCCTCTGAGCTGCCTCCACTAGCTGGCTCCTGCTCTGGCTGGCTGGCCTGGGCTGCGGGCTTTGTTCTTTTAGAGCCGTGGCTGGCTGCAGGGCTCTGAGAGTCAGAGGCAGGTGCAGCAGCAGGTGTGCTGTTACACTCCTGTGTACTCTCATATTGGTCATCCTCAGTAATGTGCAGCGGGCTGGGTGGGGGGCTGGGGGACTCTAGACCGTGGTTATAGTGGGCGGAGTTACGGAGCTGCTGGGACCGCTTGGGCTCCTGCTCTGCCTTCTCACGGAGTCGTGGGGGTGTAAGGAACAGCAGGGGGCGCTCCTCCTCACCCGAAGGGCTGGTCGCCATGGAAGGGACAGAGGTTGCTAGACTAGAGAGAGGTGCCGACATCTCAGAGGGAGGAGAGGAGGGCGTTGCTGGGGAGAGCAGTTTCACAGGCGACAAGCGGGTCGGTGTTGTCATGGTTGAGACATACCTTACATAAAGAGAACAAATTTATGTCTTTTTGTATCTTTTCTTTGAGAATGGGCAAATGTCTACTTCAAGTATTAGCAGCTTTCATACATCTTTTTAAAGGGCCCATGTTGTTCATTTTGCTATTTTACTTTTTTCTTTTGCTTTCTTTTACATGACCAATTTCTAGCTTTTCTTTTCAGCTGACTGCATCACACATTCAAAAGAGCAGCTCGGGTTGAATTTTACAGAACAAACAGCTGATTTCAGACTGACTTCCTCAGTGAGGAAAAATAAACTTCAGTCATTCGTTCCAGATGTCTGGATCCTTAGGAAGGTTGCACTGATACATTTGTTTCCCAAAAGTCAGGCACAACAATTAATTTTCCCTACATCTTCTACTCCAGTAACTCTGCTACAGACTATCTGCAAACTGTTTGCCTTTTCATCTCGGCATGAATGAATGGGCTAAACTGCTGTAGTTGAATGAGCATTTATATGTAAATGTGTGCATGCTTGTGACACTCTGCATAATTCGGACTGTATGCACTGGAGAGTGAACATTTTAAAATCTTAATATTTATATACTCCATCCAGCTTCTTTTTGAAAAAGGCGTGCATTTTAGTTTCCTATGTCATGGGCCCTTTAAACACTTTGTTTTTAATGACAAAAATCAGAAAACATCAAGATATTACTGTACCTCTCACTGTAGGGAGAGTCTTTGTAGGAGTCCACTGTTTCTCTCGAATTTTTTAGGTAGGGGCCGACTTCTCGGGCTCCACCAGTGGCATTTAGACGTCCACGCTGAGTAGGTGTACCATTCCGGCTGTTCTGGACCCGTGACATTACTAGGACAGCATTGCTGTCTGACACGACGCTGTCCATTTTTCCATTACTCCAGCTGTTACATTAAAACACAATACTCAGATGGACTACCAGTACAGCAGTACAAACAAGTTTCATAATAAGATATTTACAAGCTACTAGTAGTATTTATAAGCTACTGTAATTATTAAGTCTGAAATAGAACAAAAGTGTACACTAGTATATTTTGTAATTCAAAGACAAAACACAGTGAGGTTAAACACTCCTGCTGATGTTTACACTAGCTTCTATGACTCAGGCCTATTATGCAAGCTCCTCTGTTGGACATGAAGGACATCCCCTAAACCACAGTTTATCTCTTCTGATCACTCATTCATGTGCTCATTTTCCTTCTCCTGGAATCTCTACTAGTGAATTTCTTACGCCATCCATCGTCACACTGCTTCTTTCTTTATAAAATACTTTTGTTAGTATTCAATAATTGGAGCATCAGAGGAACTACATTAAGAACAATCCCCAGAATTTCTCCACAGCCATGAAGTGTTTGCTGCCAAGCTCATCATTCTGCATTTGTCAGGCATCATTATCAGTGAAGTGAGCAGACATAGCTAATCAGCTAATGTAAACCCAGTCTTTGATGATGTTGGTAAGAGAAAGATGTGTGGGATGACAGCAAGAAAACAACTTTAATCCCAAAAGTGATGCCTAGCAAAACGGTGATGCATTCTGACAACTCGGACTCGTTGTGAAGCAGGAAAGAAGTGTATTATATAATTGGCTGCTGCTTTGACTGTGCTAAAGCTCAAGTATTAAGCCATGTTTTACACTGCCTGCACAGTGACCCTGGCTGAGCAGTTTTGACCATCCAGGAGCTGTAGGAGAGAGGAAAGAGATGCTGTACCATTGGCTGGAGGTGTGTGTCACTGCAGTGGACGGTTGAGTGGACGATGTGTACTGGCTTATGGAAAATGATGTTTCTGTTTCCTTCTCGATAACATGCTGAGCAGGGAGGGCATTTTTCAATGCATACTGCTGAAATCAGAAGAAACCAATAGAGCATTAACAGACAGTACTGTCAGGCGAAAATATCCTGGTACATGCTTCCTGAGCTATGAATTTACTTGCTACAAATTACATTTCAGGAGTTCCTCAAGAAATTGTGTTAATTCACAACACTTTTGTGTTACACAAGAGAAGTCACAAATAAGTCACCACTTATTTGTTTTTGATCCAGCATTTTTGACTGATATCAGCTTGATACTGATACAGGGAAAGCCTACTTACTTTGATTCTTGTTGCGTTATTGTGATTAATCTTGTATATAAATTTTACATTAAATGCTGAACGAACTATATTTTAAGAGTCCTTACGGAAAAAAACACACAGTCACTGAGCACTTTATGAGGAACACTACTGATACTGGGTAGGACCTCCCTTTGCTCTCAAAATAGCCTCAGTTCTTCGTGGCATAGATTCCACAAGATGTTGGACACATTCCTTTGAGATTCTATTCCATGATGACAGGACTGCATCGTGCAACTCCTACAGATTTTTCAGCTGCACTTTCATGCTGTGAATCTCCCATTCTGTCACATCCCAAAGATGTTCTATTGGATTCAAATCCAGTGACTGGGAAGGCCACTGAAGAACACTGAACTCATTATCATGTTCATGAAACCAGTTTGTGATGACTTTTGCTTTGTGACATGGTGTATTATCATACTGGAAGTAGCCATTAGGTAATGGGTAAATTGTGGTCTTGAAGAGATGCACATTGTCAGCAACAGCAGGCTGTGGCATTCAAGCAATGATTGGTATTAACAGGACAAAAGTGCACCAAGAAAACACTCCCCACACCACTACACTACTTGTCAAAACAAGGCAGGTTAGGTCCATGGAATCATGCTGTTGGCAGCAAACAATCAGACTCATCAGACCAGGCTACGGTATTCCAAACATGACCTATCCAGTTTTTGTGAGTGTGTACTCACTGCAGCCTCAGCTTTCTGTTCTTGGCTGACAGAAGTGCAACCTGATGTGGTCTTCTGCTGTTGTAGCCCATCCGCCTCAAGGTTTAACATGGTCATTCTGAGATGCTTTTCTATTCACCACAATTAGAGAGTACAAATACAGAGTGGTTTTCTAAGTTACCATAGCCTTTCTGTCAGCTTGAACCAGTCTGGCAATTCTCTGTTGACCTCTCTCATCAACAACTGCCACTTACTGGATATTTTTTCTTTGTTGCACCATTCTGAGTGAACTCTAGAGACTGTTGTGTGAAAAAATCCCAGAAGATCAGCAGTTATAAAAATACTGATGGTTGATCTGAACTGCTTAACTGAAGCTGCTGGCCCATATTTGCATGATTTTATGCAGTTCACTGCTGCCACATAATTGGCTGATTAGATAATTGCATGATTGAGTAGGTGTACAGATGTTCCTAATAAAGTGCTTAGTGAGTGTATTTCTAGTTATTGTATGGTGTGTGGACATAAAATATTGGATGATGTGCATTAAGGAAGTACAAACATGAACTTTCTTTTGGGACAGAATATAGATTTGCTTGTTATCTAAACTCGGTTTCATCCTACGCAGTAGATGTTTGATGTCACCTTAAGAAAACAGTGCAGAGAAATATTGTTCTGAGAGTTGTGCTGACTAGATTGAAATGATGTTCTGCCTTCCGTTAAATCAGCAGTCACTTACATTAACTGAATGCACTCACTTACATTAACGAGCTGCAGGTTTTCCGGCGGTGGGTGGGAGTTTTGGGGGTACAGCGGACCATTGGCCATGCTGGCCATGGCACTGCGCTCTCGTAAACTCTGCCTCAAGCGATCATGCAGCTTTTTCCTCTGCTTCCTGTACACACAAAAAAAAAACGCTGTTTAAAGCCATGCTCACTCATGCCTCCCATCTCATAAGAATCATTCGTTTATTGTTTAGTTTGGTTCACAAAGTACCAACATTCGAATATTTTGTGACATCAAAGACAGAAAAATAGGGGAATTACTTTGTTTTGCAGTAGGCCACCACACACATGATGCCCACGACTAGGAGAGCAATGCAGATGCCTGTTATTGTTAATACACGTTTCTGATACAGCTCCTCAGCTTCTGGAAAAGAGGACAGGACACTTTTTTACCACTCTGCAAAAAAACACGTTTTAGCAACACAAAGCTGTATTCAACCTTGACTACTTGTGCAAATGATTAGAGGTAATACTGGGTCGTTAACAATATTTTCACTTGCACAAATCTTCAAAATTGAACGGGACCATTTGTAGCACATTTCCAGTCAAGCTGCTTTTTATTAGCAGGTATTTTCTGTTACTGGGAAGACAGAGATGCATCTTGATGCATATTGATCTCAGGATGCAGTTTTGCTGAGTAGGGAGGGAACACAAGGCGGTGTTAATTCAAGGTCGGTTTTGAAATCATGTCATCACAAACGACTCTAAATGCATTATCTGCAATGCATTCAAACCACTCCATAAATTACCACTACAGGGGACATCTTTAACATACTATATGTACATGCATTTAGGTTATTTCATTACATTGTTAAGATTAAGACATTAGGGGACTGTTTTAAGTTGGACCTCCAGTATGTGAAATACTTTTGAACCTCTGCAAAACCAAGAGGGCAGTAGTAAAGAGTATCAGTATTTACTGGCCAAATTGTTTTGGCTTGCAGGTGCTCCAGTCTTGCACATACCCGAGGCTTTAGGAAATGGGCCTGAAAACGCACCAGCACTTGGTCACAGGGCCTATAGTAAATCGATAATTGATTCATGTACACATGGCAGCTTTACAGTGTGTGATGGAATATTGTTGTCCTTGACTCAGGTCAGTAGTAAAAGGAAGTACTGGAAGTATCAGATGTCCTGTGAGCAAATGCTGTTGCCATGTTGTTTTTACCCTGGTTAAAATGATTTAGATCAGTTTAGGGCTGTCACTATTGATTATATTAGTAATTAAGTAGATGATTGGTCAAAATAATTAAAGCTTTTATAAAAGGTCAAACAATAAAAATGGCTTGACTAGGCCTGGGCGATGTAATTGGATATCACTGATGTCTCACGTAACCTGATGGCGCTGCGTGAAAGACGATAATCACTGTGTTGGAAGGAGAACCAGGGAGCCGAACTAGAGAGGGCTAATTTATTGTTTAACAGTTTGGTAAATATGTTGGGAAACTGGGGTTCATGTTCTTTTAGGAACCTGCCCCAGTAGGAAGTTTTTTTTTTATTATACATGGAACCAAAAATAAATGCTGACATGCTTTGGAACTTCAGGTTGCTTGGTGTGACTCGCTGTGTAAAACAACCAAACTAAAGTTACTGGGTTTTACCCTAGAGCAGCAAAGTTAACTCTAACCTTGGAAACTTTAAAAGTACAGAAAGCTTCTAATCCACGTCTATGGCTGGAAACAGAATAAGAAAAAGATAAACAATATTAAATAGGTGTATACATAATATTCAATGTACTATTAAAACATTGGGTTATTATAGGGCATTGAAAAGCTGTTAGGGTACTGTCTTTGCTGCTGGTGATTTGAGTACAATTTGCAGTATTTGTTTGCATAGCTTTAGTGTTCTGGTGGTTTGACATTAAAACGGTTCATGTATAAAAAGTAAATAAACTAAAAGTAGAATAGAAACTGCAACAGACTACGAGTATTGATTGGGGGGGGGGCGGTTAACAGATAATAATGATTTTTTAACTAGAAGGTATCATACTAGTTATTTTTAGATATCGCTCAGGCCTAGTCTTAACTGAAAAATAACACCATCCATAGCCTTTCAAAGATTCCATAATGCTTTAATGGAAAAAATAACCTAGGAAGCCTTTAAAAAGAATTCACTATGTAAATATGGTGAGTATAAATGTCCACCAAGCTCCTTCTTACTCTAAGAGACCAGTATGATCATTTAAAATATACATTTTTATGGTAAAAAACTGCCAACTAGTCTTTGCCTATTTACTGAAAAGGCATCGAGTTTAATCAAGTAATCGTGACAGCCCTAGTTCAGTTTAAAGATAATAAACATCCTCTCAAACAGGAACACAACACAACTGCCAATATAATGTATAGAAAAACATAAAAGACACTGAGTAAGGAAAAGGGGACTGATGGAAGAAAAAAAAACAAGAAACAGCTAGGTTGAAGAAAGAGATGAACTGATGTAAGGAATGGAGGGGAGGACAGCAGGTGATCAGGATAACTGGCGCAGCATGCTAAAGGATGAAGGGATGCAGAGGAGGAGAGCAAAGCAAAGACTGAAGGGATCAGCACATACAGCATAACTGCTGAACAATCCGGCTAATACTGGAAGGCTAATATGTAGGTCTGATTGTGCTTTGTGTAGTTGTGGGTGTGTGCTTTGAATGGAACATGTCAGAGGTCCACATGAATAATTGAGGACATCCTTCACTGCCATACAGGCTGATGCGCCAAGCTGTGCTGCAGCGTTTAAGCTTTAAAACAATGAAAATGTCCAGAGAAATTGGACTGAAAAGGCCTCATTCTTTAAACAACTTGACAGGAATAAAAAGACTCGATTCAATGAAGCGGTGTGGGTCGAAATCACATTGTCTGTTATGGCTGTATGTATCCCTTCATTAGCAAAAGGAAACTGGCTAGAGTTGAAGGAAAAAGGCTCAAGCTACTAGTCCTACAAAAAGTCTGCAAACTAGGAGGAAGGAACAATTCATACCCATAAATTCAATCCCATGATGTTCTGCCGAGGCAGAAAAGATGACAAAAAGAAAGAAAGTACAGTTGGTTGGAGGTTTGAGCGATAACGTAGTAGCCTAACTAAGCAAACATTTTACGACGTCATTGCAAAGCACTACTAGTGTATGGAAAAGCAACTAAATACTATACACCCGAGTATCTTTGTTCTTAGCATGTGATAGCAATACATTTAAAATGGCACACATCAATGAGTATTACTTTAGTTCAGTACATTTCATGGCTGCCTAACATTATGGTTAAAATACAGTAGCATGCACATGCAAACATCACTGTGCTTGCATCATTAGACAGACTGACCCTATTGTTTAAAACACGAGCAGAACCCGTGATATTCAACTGGCAACACCACCACATATGTTTCAGATAAACATGCTGTTAGGGACATGCATCTCTCACTCAGCTACACTGTTTCAACCCTTGAGTGAGCTGACACCACGATTTATGCCAAAATCAAACCCCAAAGCTCCCTGCTAACAGCCATGCTAGCCAAATACATTAACATATACGTCTACATACAGACCACACAGCAAGTATTTTATGAATGCCATGTATGTACATACCATTTTGTTATCATAAAGTGAATGCTCTATCTGCAACAAGACTTGGAAATTATCAGAAGTAACTGAATAAATTTAAAAAACTACATAACTTGTGTAGTTTAATAAACAAAGTCCCATTGGATGTGTCAGAGGGTTGCGAAAAAGTACAGTTCTTGGAAATGTTCACTATTAAAACTATTAAAAATATTGTTGTGTAGTCTTTCAAATGTGTTTTGTGTACATTTCTGTTATTTCAATAATGAGAAGTATGTAATAAAGTGTCTAAAATAATATATTTATTTGAACGATGGGGAAATGGGCCTCTAAGCATTCTTAGAGGTTTTGTTGTTTTTCTGTTAATACACTCTTACTTTTCATATGTTCTCTTTACATTAGAAAACAGCAGTGAAACTCGGGCAACTTAAATATCAGTGCATTATCGGCAGGATTTTTGCTGATATGGTTAAATCAGTGAAACCTTTGGTAGATTGTATTGGCCAACCCAATATCGGTTGGGCACTGTTGCTGAGTATCTCAGTAGTTTTGCAACAGGCTGCTTTACTGGGTTATTGCACTGTCCTCCAGCAGAGTCCCTGAAGTCACTAGCATAGCTAACATCTGAGAGATGTTAACTGATAACCACTCCAGTCTTTTTTACTGATATTTATTGACGTCAAATTCCTCATTGCTAAGCGATACATTTTTTTTAGCACTTTCGAACAGTGTCTGTTAACCTGACTAAGTCAGTGAACTTCTGATGGTGAGTCAAACGCATGGAGCTAATACAGCACTAGGAGTTGCTGAGAGTGGCCTGTCTATGCAGGTAAATAAAGCTCTACTGCCATGCTGATGCAGCAGATCCACTGCCTGTCCTCTGTGGCCTGTATCTCATTCTCAGGGTGGTAAAGAGAAAGGAAAATGAATGCTCTGGCTGTAGGAGAAATTATAAATTACTGTAGGTACTGTGCTCAACAAGAAAACTGGTGGTTAACATTGATGGGCGCTCAGCACCTTCTGCTGAAGCTGCACTTACTGGCCCTCTTTCAGCTCAGAATATCTGCTTCCCCGAGCAGACAAGAAGGTCTTGAAGAAGTGAAGCAGAGACAAAGCTATCAGATAGTGCCTTGTGATCCTTAAGCTGTAACACTACCTCTGTAGATCCATAATATTGCACTTTTATGTTATGTATTGGATGGTATACAGAGGCCCTATCTCTGCAGCCTATTGCTCTACCCCCCTTGTGAACCGCTTCAAAGAAACATAGTTTTAAAAGGAATGGTTCATGTTTATGGTGGGTCTTTTGCATAAAATGACTAGCCCTTAGAACTATGTTTTTGCTCTTTGCGGGAGAAAAGACAACAGCTGCATGTTAAAGATCAACTGACAGAACATGGAAGCTTGTAATGCCCACCAAGTGATTCATTTGCTAGGTGATGGATGTGATGTCACAGTGCTACAGAGCTACAAAGCTCTTGGAATCTGTCCACAATACTACAGACTTAATCATTTACTTTTGGGAAATTAAGCTTTGATTAGTATTAAAAAAAGGCTTATTTCTTGCTCCCCAGAGCAAAAGCCACATGTAACCTGTCTCAGGCATATATTCATACCGCGACCCCCCCATATTGGTGTGAAGTGTAAAGAGTAAGTTGCCCTAGTTGTTTGCCTGGTGAGAAAGCTCACTAGGAATCCTGCTTTGTAGTGTGCCTCTCTGATCTATTTAGAAACAACGTAAAGTCTGTATTCTATTATTTATGTTCTGACTCTTTTACAGTGTTTACAGTTGAATTTTTAGTTCTTAGTTGTTAATATTGGAAGGGGTTATGTAGCAGACATGGACCTCCAGCACTTTTTCAGTGGACACTAGACTACAGAAGTCACTGAAATGAAAGTTACTAAACTGTCGTCAAGCTGGAGCTGGAGATAGGACTCTTGTTTTAGACACTATCTAGTTGGGCCTGCTGGATTCATACAAAAAGTCAGTTCCTGCACCACAAGACCCTGTGAAATGGTATAATTTATTTAAAAAGTATTCAAATCAACTGAAAAAATCTCAAATGTTTCTGAAAATAGTCAATATTTCTTCATCTGTGTCCAATGAATATTTCTGTCCACTCCCTGTCCATCCAGATTAATAATCCAATATAACAAAACTAGGTTAAAAAATGCTAAACATGCGAGGAGTAGGCATGGTAAAAGATGCACAACAGAACCCCAAAAGGGCACAGAAAACTCCCTGATCTGCCTACAAGGAAAACAAAAACGAAGCAATAGGAAGTAGCGCTGATTGAGCATGCTCCAATCCAAGCACAGACAGGAAAAGGAAATAGACGTACTGTAGAAACTGGGCGTTACGTAGGTTTGGCAGCGATCACCAGTAAAGTCATTTGGGCACCTGAGAGGGAAACAAAAAAGTCACAGAGAGAAGAGAGAAGAGAGAGAGGAAGTGAGTTGATACCCATAAGTTTCCCCGTGCCCATGAGCATCTCTGGTGTTGTCTGCAAAAACGTCTCACAAACATTAACCATGTTTGTTAAATCACACTCCTCCCAGCTACCATCCAAATCACAGTCACAAAGTAACAACTTAATAGGCCAAGATTAATTTCCAAGCAATCGGATTAAATTTCAGGCAGTTGGAACCCACTCCCCCACCCCCAAACAAAAAACACTCAATTGAAGGATTAAACAAATTAGAATGCAGTGTCATCACCATGCGGACAAAATTGTGCAATCATCAACTGTTCCGAATCTCCGGTGACAGCATCCCAGCTTTGGAGAGCTTTAATGTTCACTTCAATTTAGCAAGAGCAGTGATTAGTGGCTTGGAGAGCCTTGCGCCACACACATTCTCACACCTGTCCACGTCTAATGGGGGGGACAGATGGAGAAGCCTGGTGGGTTTGGACCTATGGAGACTGTGATCAGGGAAACAAGCGGGGAGAGAGAGAGAGAGAGGGAAAGCGGAAAACACCAGCTATGCAGCATGCGCTTGGGGGATGTTCAGTGACTGCACATACGTTTTTGGTCTATGACTCTCACAGGCTCTGTGTTTTGACAGCGGTCCCCTGAGAATCCTGGGGGGCACCTGAGAAAGGGGATGGGGAGCGGTAGAGGGATGAGCACAGGACACAGACTCACACTTAACACATCACAACACAAACACATTTAACAGCACAATACAACAATACAACAATTAGGTTTATAGTTTATGGCTGTTTTTACCAATGTTAATTAATTTTACTATTATTAATATTCGGCCTTTCCTGGACAATTCAGTATTGGCCATAATTGAGTTACTTTTACTACACTCTTCGGAAGAACCCTAAAAAACCTTTCAATGGATCATTCTGTAAAGGGTAAGTTCTGTAAGTGAAATGCACCAGTTAGGAACTTTTAGCTTAAGAGTATATACACAGATTTTGACAACAAACCTTAAGTAGTCACTCTTTATAATGACAACACTTTTGATTTCGCAATACATCAAAAGGCACTTTAATATTAGCTTTCTTTGTGCAACATGATTTTCCACAGACACTTTCAGGATTCAGCCAGGCTTATTGTAGGACTTCCTCTGTCTTTTTAAGCTCCAGCTGACCACTGGCTCAATTCGGCATGCATTGGCCTTGCTTGTCCAGCTATTACGTTACCGTGTTCATAAGGGGGTCATTTTTGTGCATGGTCTGAAAGCCCAAAGAACAGGACATGGCTGGTATTGAGGAAATAATTGTAGTTCCAGGTCTGTGGTCCTCTTTTAAGTTTTAGTGGGCATTAAAGAAGAAAGTTTGGGGCCAAGAGCGCCTTGTTCTGATCCGGAGCTTTCAACAGGCCATCTGCTTTCTGATGACAGAGGAAGGGGGCTTTCTAAAGCTCCGATGAAGTGGATCTAGTGGCGTGACAGGCATGGCCTCCGAGCCTTTACAGCTGCGGCTCTTAGAGGGTTATAACAGCTGGGACAGCTGAGTCTCTCTACAGAGAGAAAGAATACAAACGTTGAGAGCTGAGAGAGAATGCGTTTAGATCTGAGTGACTTAAAGTCATCACTGAGGTGGGATGGAACTGCTGTTTATGTGACATAAATGTTGAACACTGAAAGAGACACACAAGACTTCTTGAACTTTCTTATGAAAATACTTCAAGACGTTTGTGGTGACAATCACAGGCACACAAAGGTGGTTCACTGTCAGGGTAAGAGGACCGTGCCTTTCTCTACACATCCTGTGTGTCAGGGTTCATCTCCAGACATGTCTGTTTCAGACTACTGACATACTCTCAGCTCTCTTTCTGATCCCTGGAGACTCAGTCGGCCTGCCTGCTGCTTCCGCACAGTATAGACACACAAGGGGAGAGAGGGAGAGAATATGGAGAGAATATGGGTGGGCAATATGGCAAACATACAATCTGACAATACACAAGTATCACAACATTTAGTTTTTCAGAGGTTTATGAACACAGTAGAAGAACAAACCAGCAAATAGCAGTAGTGCCAAGGTTAAAACGGGCATATAATATTTTTTTTATCATTTTTTAGTAAATCAAACAATTGATAAAAATAGCTCCAAAATAATTGTATAATCAGTTACTCTACACTGCCCGTTCTTCACAAGTTCCATATATTTATAAATCTACATATTTTATGATACATGCAGTCAGGGGTAGACATTGCCTATTGCCCAATGCCCCTGGACACAACATTTAATATTTTTGTCACTAAATATGCAGCACCAGTGGTCTGATGGGCCACTTGCCTTGGGGAGTTTTCTGCATTCTTTTTCTCTTTCCGGTCATATATGAAACCATTTACATCAAATCAGATGTTGTTGGGATTTGTAAGCTGTAACCACTACGACAGCTGATGTGATGGTGTTCTATGGTATGAAGTTTTCTAATATCGATCTGCAAATTAATTCCTTACATAAATTAATGTGTTAAATATGCTGGCAAAACAGTGAGCCTGAACAGTACCTGATGATATTATCTAGATTGGATGACATTAGGGTAGACCAGTTTGGTGGAGGGCAGGGGCCACCACAGTCATAACAACAGCAAAGTTCCTTTTTGTAAAGAATTTCCTTTCTCAAAGCAACACCTGACCGGTTTTTGGTACTAAAGCACACTTGCTTATTTTACATGCAATGTATTTAATAATCATGTTTCTATTACTGTTTCTATTTCTATTACTGTTTAAGTTTTCGTCACAAGATTGATTGATTTGGTGGCCCAAGTGGCCAGTACAAATGTTTACATCTCTCCTCCCCTGCATGCAGTTTTTCAGTGTTCTGGGAGTACTGTGTGATATACTAAGAAAAGCAAACTGTTTTGTGAAAAATTTTTTCATTAGTTTTAACAGAAGAAAAACATTGTGATTAATTTTATGTATCATCATGTTGCCCACCCCTAGGAAGGAATTACAGGGAAGGCACAGTTCTCCGGACTGGTTACGTCCTGCAGTGCTTGTGGAATTGAAGCACAGACAGCAGCAGTGCTTTTCTGCTTAGTCACTGAAGTATTTAAGACGAAACTCAATCTCTCGGCGGACGCTAAAAGTCCCTTTTATGTATTGGATGGCCCTAAGCCAAAGTGTCTCCTTGGCAATGTCAATAGAGGTGCTGTACAGGGCTGCAGTCATCAGAGCTTTTCCTTAATGATGCTAATGGCCCCACGCTTCTGCAGATTACTGTTAAAGCAGAATGTGTGAAAGGCTGAGGAATCAATCTCACGTACCTCCATGTGCAAGATATTCTACACGATGAATCATGTTTGAATCTTAAACGAATAGTTCCTTTCCAATGTGCTGCAAATGTGCGCATGGTATGGTTCTTGAAGCTTCTTGATACAGTACACACAATTAGGTGGTCTTAACAAACAGATATCACACGGTTTAGTGTTCAGAGGACTTACATCTGTTATGGATGCAGTATTTTTTCCTAACTAAAGCTGCGACAGAGACTGACAGGCACTGCTAATGAAAAGATGTTCCACCTGTATATTTCCTTTTATTATTCATTTATTCACAGACTTTCACCTTTCATTTTACTGCAGAACTTTCATGTCTCATGTCTGTACTCTCAAACACAGCATGCCACATTTCTACCACCGTGATCTTCTCTCAGCTTAGTGGGGTGCTTTTGTTGAAGAGATGTTTTGTTTGGGGGGAAAAAAAGCTAACCAGCAGCTGGGCTCTGAACACTCCACTTCCGAGTAATTTGCGCAAAGACAGTGCTTTTGCTCCTACCGGATTCTACAATTCCCTACGGCTTCAGAGGAGGGGATCTAAAATTACATGTTGAGCTTTGAAAGAGCTCAATGACATTAGGCTTCACAAAAGATTTGTTACTGAAATCACAGAGGATAATGATATGAATAGTAATAACTCATGACATGCTAAACTGACTCTTAAATAAGTGAGAAATCTCTAAGCAAGCTATTTCTAACACACGTAAACCCTTGAACTCTAGGCTTATTACTCGGCTTTCAAGCTACTATTAAACTACTATGAATTATTTGGTAGTAACTATTAAAGTAATGTGGTAGTCTTATAGTCATGAGTGTGAAACTTCTGCAGCCTATTACAGTTTAATGGGTTGCTGTTTGTAATGTCCTACCTGCAGAGGCGTTTGATGCTGTTGGGCGTGACCTCCAAAGTAAAGCACTCTCCTCCATTCACACAGTAGGCTCTCTCCTCTTCACTGCAGGGGGTCACGTGACTCGACGTCTTGGCCGAGGGTGTGGTGCTGGTGGCAGCTAAAGGAAGAAACAGGGTAGATTAGTGTATAAAGAACAATTCAGATCAATTCAAAGTGGCTTTACAGAAGCTTACAGTAACTTTTAAACAAAGAAACTTTGCACTAGCAAACTGATCGAAGAGCAGTTTCTGGAACGTTGTGCTTTGCTCTCCATTGTTGAATTCAGTACTGAAGTAAGCTAAGGCCAGTCTGGGGCCTGCAGCTCTAGATTTATGGGATTTATTTATACAGACGCTGATGATGTCCTACACACTTCTACACAAGACCTGCTGTCTCCTCTGCAGCGACATTGCACAGTTGATACCCACTCTGCGTTTGATCCCAGTGTCCTTCATTGTTGCTAAATACCAGCGGAATATCAGAGAAATATGAGACGGCACACACCACATGGACAAGGCATATTGGTTTGTTGATGGAGCCTGAATCAATGCACACTGCTCATCTTGAATCCCAAACCTCTGCCTGGAATAATGCATTATTTTTATCCTAAATTTAAAAGCTAGTAACTGTGAAACAACAAAGCACGTTATGACTGCATGGCAGCACAAATGCCAAATGTTGCACAGAATGCACAAAAAATGCTAAATCAGATGTTGTCATAACAGCAATACACAAAGCTAATCAGCAGGAATGAGCTGAAATTATCTTTGACTTTTCAGAAAATGACCTTAAAAGACTTCTTTTGCATAGGAAAACGGTTAGAAAGCACTGATAAATGCATTTAAAACAACTCAACCACAGCAGGCAACTTTATATTATACCCTAAAGTTCACAGCATGCCAGTCTAAACACATAAAAGATATTTAAAACCAAGAAAAAGAAAATCAGAATTATGGCACTACCTGTGATGTTTCGGTTATGTCTGGACATGTGGAGCCGCATGTCTCTTTGCTGCTCACTGCTATGCGGTCAGGATCAATAGTCCAGAGCACTCTGTCTTCTTCACTGCTACCTGCCCTCGCCCCAGTGCAAACTCAATGCTCATCAACATTTTTAAACAAGCCCTTTCAGCCTCCGGCTCTCCACCTCACTCCCCACGTCACACCTGGCACGCTGAAACACCGCCAGTGCAGCTGTGCGCAAGCAGAGACGTCACAGCGTGCATCCCGGGGAAATGAGTTTGCACCTCAGCCATTAAAAAGGACAAATATTTATGCATGGAGCAACAGTGCTGGACGTCTGGCCTTCGATTTCCCAGCCCACTTCCTGTCACGATACACACGCACATAGATGTTCCCTCTCAAAGTGGACGTGATTAGGGACTAGAAAATGACACGCTGCAGCCGTAAGCAGATGCTGAAGCCACCCACTTGATCATCAGCTGTGTGACTCCACATAGTAATTGATCGATTAAGCACCGTTTTTAAGATGGGACTAATTCCAGCAGGATCTGGGAGTGAGAACATTGATACCCATCAGTAAGGGTCTCTTACATCATGTTCCGTCCATCCACTGCCTAGCATACGACCACATCTGAGAGCCTACGGCCCTATCTTCCATTTCCCAATCATTAAGGATTCGTGACCTGAAATTCAGTGGTTTAGATTGCAGATTGTAGGGGTGGGCGATGCAACAATACATATATATCACTAAATATATACTAAAATATGAAAGTAATATGAAAAATCATATTACAATAGGGTTGAGCAATTAAGATTTTTTATGTTAGTCACAATTTGAAAGGTGCAATTTTCAAATTGCAAGAGCTGCTATTTTAATAATTCAATGTTGTCTAATTTTAAATGGGGATTTAACCTAATAGAGCTTGTGAACTGTCAGTCTGGCACACTACATTCAGCGTTCAAGCCTTAATTCTGAAAAAATGGGTATGCTATTTGAAATTCGATACTTTCTCCAAATCATTCAGACCTACATCACAATGTTTTTCTAAACATATTGTGGGTATCGTTAGTGTTTAATGAATGCTGACCCTCTGCATGTTTCATTTAAGAGATACAGGAGAGATTCCCAAGGAGTGTTGCTGTCTAAGGCTTCGCCCTATCTGGAAATTCTGAGTGTGTCCCTTCTAACTTTTTTTGTAAACCTCAGAAAAACATCGTAAGAGACAATTAGATAAGCTTAGAGAATACTACTGAAATGCTGCAGTGAAATCATAGGTCAGGGACCCCATCAGGTAACCGCTGAGGTGGGAAGGACATGGCCATTCAGTCCAAAGAAATTCAATCTCTATGGACCACACCGCTGTTTTGCTAGACAATCAACGTTTAGTTGAATAATTGACAGTGCAACAGATTGCTTTTGTCTCCATAACCTAATTATTGTGTTTCTCTCCCATTAAACCTACTGGATCAGAGATCAGAGGCTGTCACGGATCATCAGTCAGGGCCCAACAGCTTTCTATGGCTCCAAAAGAAAAAAAGACTCAAAATAGATTAGCATATGGCCAAATCAAAACAACAACACATAAAAAGAGAGCCCACAATAAGACTGCTTACAAACAGCATTGAGGTACTAGGTGGAGTGACAAGCTAAGAAGTCTAAAACAAAGACTATTCAGTTCATGCTATGCTTTTGGCAACTCATCTCTCAACTGATAGACACTTAAACAAAGTCAAACTGCCATCATAACAGCAGGGGATGTGGAGTCTTTTCAAGGTGAGGGACAGAGCATCCAAACCATTCATCTCACGTATGAATGTGTCTCAATGCGGTCAAAGTGAAACCGCCTCCCCTGAAGATGCCACTGCTACATATGAGTGATAGCTCAAAAGGAGAAAGGTGAAACATCAAATTCCGCTGTTTAACTTTCACTTATTTGGCCAGTTCTATGTAAATGTTGTCTGTACAAGTTTGACTATGGCTAGTAAAGCAGAAGATAAAGATATTTTCACCTGTGTAAGTGCACTTTATACAATTTTCTTAATCTGGTTTTCAGAATCAACATTTCTGAAGCAACACTGCAAGCAACACTGAATCAAAACAGACTTTAATTCAAAGACTAGGAGAGATGTCTGTGGGAGGTAGGTCCAGGCTAAATTTGAGGCAGGTTTTGGGTTTCAGTGCAGCAGAGCTGAGCTCTACTCTTTTTTTTCGGACTCTAGATGGAGGTTGCTGGCTAGCTCAATCGATTTGGGTCCATTTCATTTTTTTGCTGGTGGAAAGAAACCCAAGAGCAGACAGCGCATGATGGTGCAATGCCAACAGTCTCTGGCTTCCTCCTCCTCTCCCACGTTTGCTAGGCCAGCATTTTCCTGGAGCGTTCTGCTCGTGCGAACGCAGCCTGGCCTGAGAGCAATCAAGGGCAAAGCCAGCACTGCGGCGGATGACTGAGTACCAGACTCACTCCACCGGGACAGAAATCCATCACTGAACAGCCAGACCATGTTCAGCCTAACAGAGCCAAGACTGGGGTAGTGCATTCACTCCAAGTCACTGTGGGACTGGGACCAAGACAACACCATTAGATCAAAACTAGTGAAAAAAATGACTCCAGCAGCAGTCCCAGCAGTAGGAGGGTATGAAATGCTACAACTAGGCCTGTAGACGGCAGTAAACAGCAGTAGAAATGAAGTACAAGCCAAATTCATTACAATGAGATGGGTAAAAGTATAGAAAAAAGATTTTCCAGATAGAAGTATGACTACTTTCAATATTAAATTGAAAATAAAATCTGAACAAGAAACACATATATCACTGGCCATTGTGAATAAGCTGTAAAGGGCACTTGGTTTTATACAGTAGTTGATGAGTTGTTTTTTTATATACTAGTTTCATACACTAGTTGACAGGTTAGGATTAATTGTGCTGCCTTAACTGCAACTTCACGTTTTTTAAGAAAACTAGAATAAAAAAAAAATACAGAAAACAGACAGGAATTAGGTCTATTTTTTGTGCAGTAACCTAAGCTGAATATATACCTGAGAATTTATGTTGTCTAGCTTGGTGCATCAATTGTAAAGCATATATTAATATTCTATTCACAACCACCCACCCAGAGTGGTGATTGATTATAATTCATTTTGCTCCTTTAAGATTGGCTTTTGTTGTCTCTAAGCTAAAAATGCACTGACATGTTCTCCACATCATACTGAATCATTATACCTTAAATCATTAGCGCTGCTGTTTTTGACTAGCAGTTCCGCACCCAACCAATTTTGTAACTTTAGTGTTGACTCATGGCAAATTGAAAATATTGCTGACTAATATGACAGTGTTACTGTACATTATATAAAGCAATTGGCAGGATGCAGACAAAAGTGATGGCTTCATCACTAAATACAGCTTATCTTATGGACCTGGAGAAACGACTACTGAAAAGACTACTGTGAATCTGACATCAAAATCATAAATGTGAGAGTTCAGCATCTTAGATTTAGAAGATCTAATACAACACAAAACTAGGACACCAGCATTTATACTGTATGCTACTTTCTAGGTTAGAGAGAGAGAAAATTCACATTGCTTTTGGTCTTCAAGTAAATGATCAAGTTCTCTAAGTTAATCATTGAGATGTAAACAAGGTCATATAGATTAGTATGATATAAAATGGTAAACAGTTGAGAAACCACTCGACTCTGGGTTCATTACAATGGTGCTAATAATAACAAGTTGTTGTGTCTTCAGCACAAATATAGTCATCTTATTTGCTAGCTAAAACAATCAGTGAACCTTCTGAGTTTTTAAACATAATCTTATTAGAGGTAAAACAGAGGTAAATTGGTAAGAATAAGTAAGTAAAAAAGTTTCTGTGAGGTAGCTTTTAGAAGCATTAAAGGCTTCAGATGTCTGGTTCCTATCACCAAGGTTCATCAGTTGGGAGAGCTGCTCTGCAGACCAGCCATCACTAACACAGCCAGCCAGGGGCGTCAGATGATTAATTTCACACATTCGCAGCCAGAGCCTGCAGGAAGAGGCCACAGCATCTGTTTGTGTGTGAAACCATGGAGACTAAGTACGCCCTCGTCCCAGTACACCCGCCAGGTGGGAAAGGTGTGCTTTGCACAGCTCTTGAGCAACTGCAGGCACGTGTCAGGAACC